ATTTCAGTTGGGACGAAGTGGACAACATAACAAATGACGCTGCTGAAGACGTGCCACCTGAAGAAGCCACCGACGAAGAAGAAACTCTACTCAGTTTTGATAAGGGAAAACGGTGAAGCTCTTGATGAAGTTACTACCCCTGATGTGACTGTTATCGACGATAGGACATTTCCTGATGAAGCAGATGAACCCCATATGAAGCAGAAGCCAACGAGACGGAGACCAGTACGGAAGAAGATACGTCCTGTAAAATTAAGAGACTTTGTTGAATTGTAATTTTGTGTTTGTAATTCTGTACAGTTAATTAAGTTATTGTTAATTGTTATTGGTTTATTGTATGTGGCTATTGTTCGGGACGAACAATACTAAGGGGGGGCAGTGTTGCGTCAGCGAGGTCACGTGACTAGTATCACGCCACTCCTTCTCTCGAACCTTCGGGAATTATCGGGAGATTACTAGATTGAGGTAGTCTGGTATATATAAGATGGTCACAAAGTGACGGGGGAATGTGTGAAGGTAATGAGTAATTGCACTGCAGTCAGAGAGAGAGTATTGTTGAAGTCGAGCTCGTGAGACGTGAATTATAGTTTGTTATAGCGCGACTGTTGAAGTTGAGTGAAGTTGTATACGGAAAGGATAAACCAGTTTTATTTAAGAAAGGACTTGTGTCGCTAAAGTTTCGTCGGAACGAATTTACGGAAAATTAACTAACGACTGGAGGCGTAACAGTAATTTCACCTTAGCTGAAAAGGGTTTTAACATTGTGTTCAGCTACGATTTTAAACAGTAATATATTCGTAGAATAAATGTATGATGGTTGAAAGTGTCATGGCTTGACTTAGCTTTGTAAACTTCTGTCTCAATTACGATTATGGTCAAAATGAGCTATGAACAATATGTGACACATCAAATTCTGGTGTATATGAACTATGTACAAACTACGAATTTTCTACCTTCTTATTTTAATACAGTATTTTTTCAAATAGTTATTATTCTAATATCCGGATTTTTCACATAACATTTAGTTGAGAAATTTGTTAAATTTACTTTCTGCTAGCTGAGTTTTGTTGCTTTGTCATTAACTGAAGTGGAACTGGCCACTCTCATTCAAGCATAAAAGATGTTGTAGCCTCGAGATATCATCTAACCTACCAGTGGAGGTTACTACTGTCTACAATTGTGCACAACGTGCTGCATTATAGTCAGGCAGAAAAGTGCTATCTCCAAAGAATGAAAAAGCAACAAAGACAACTAGCAGAAAATACTACTGCCTCAGTGAATTACATTGATTATATGACCAAAAAGTGATCATCAGCTTCCATGCTACAACTTTCAACATGTTTTGTGTGTCTTCATGAAAATTTTTCAAGCTGTTAGTAAACACTGCTAGTATTATGTAGATTAAAAAAAACGGTTTTAATTAAGCACTTTTACAAAAATATTGTTTGTGAATATATAGTCAGAGTGTTGACTGCTCCAGGTGAAAAGTGATTTTCATGTCATGATTAAAAATACTTTTCTTCACCTGAATATTATAAAATTTCATTTATGTAATACATATAAAACCTCGTAAATAAATATCAAACATTTTTTTCACTAAAACTTTATATTTTGTCTGTACGAGTATGGCCAATTTGACCGAACTTGTAACCACCATAAAAAGCAAAATATAATGAGAAGTACTATGCTATCCTTTTTAGTGCTCTCCAGTGGCACAGCAGTATGTCTGTGAATTAACAAAGCTAAAAATTGGGTTTCGATACCTATGGTGGGCAGAGCTCAGATAGCCCATATAATAGCTTTGTGCTTAACTACAAACGAACAAACCTTTTTAGTATTTACTACAAAGATCCAAAGCACTTCTCCTGAGAGTTCTACTTCTAAGCCTTTTACATCTATGTTTATTTTACTGAAGTAGACACCTGCCGAACATAAGGTAATGAATCATCATTCTTGCCATTACTGTGTATGTGACACCATCGATAGCAAGCAAGCATGTAAGTCGCAATAAGCTGACAATTCACATAGTTTATCGTAATCCTAGCTCCATGAATAAGATGGTTTGTTTACAGTACAGTGGTTGTAAGAGAATCATCTACAGTAAGAAAAGTGCTAGAAAATGTATATGTCTCTGTATACGGTCTGATCCAATAAATTTGATAATAATAGGTATTTGGATGCTAGTTTTCCTCCTGGGGTGGTCAGAATTTAGCAGTATAGTTACACAAAGTGCTTATGAACATGTGTGTATATATATATTACTGCTAGTTACTCATAAATACTTAATTTTTAATTATTCTTCATAAAACGTAGAACAGCAAAATAAAAAATGTATACAAAAAGAATAATTTCTAGTACTTAAACTATGTTACAAAATTGATTTGTAATCTTAATGTCGTACTTGCTAAGCTTCTTTTACTTTCTCTAGTGGAGGGGAAGACAAATTAATTTTTGAATGTTTCAAAGATACATTTCAGAACCCCCCCTCCCCAAAAAAATGAAATTGCTATAATGATGTACATAAAATCACTGTAAATTGTCTGATTTTCCTACTAAGCTATATGAAGGTTTTTTAAAAAAATATTTCTGTTCAGATCAATGAGTTAGTCAACAAATTTCAACATTTCTTGTAAAGCTTTGGCTTTCCCCTTGAAACCAATTACACACGATTGTTAGATTTATGCAGTTTTGAATCTGTAAACATGTACTTATAAGAAATAAGTATGAGTAGACAAGAGGTTTAAAAAATGTAGTGGTGGGTAGGCCAAATTTGAGTTTCTGATTTGTTAACTACTACAGACATTCTATGGTAGGCATAATACAATTTAAGCAGACCAATAAAACACAGGGACATGCAATGTGACACATAGAAAAAGATATATAACATTTTATTTTTAATATTTTCTCAAGAATTAAGGAACTGAAACATATATAATGTTAAAATTTGAATTACAAACTGTTTTGATGCCAATTTTATTGAGATACATTGATAATAAAGTTGGTTAATTAAATTTTGAAAATACTAGAATGTCATATGTATCCTTTAATTTGTCTGTAGTAAAAAGATTAAAATAACTATTCTTGTCAATCAAACAAGACATGCATAGAATTTGCATCTTTAATAAAGATTTTAAATCTGTGTTCATTCTCACAAACTCAATTATTTCGAAATTGAGTACTACTATTTAATAGATATCCTGTCAAATCTGCTTTTCAGCAAATTTATCCTATCACTCTCAGGATAATCAGTTTAGATTTAATCTACCACATATAAATTAACATCCTGCTTTAATAAAGTGATACTGCATTCCCTCTCAACGTTAGAGTTTGTTGTGCTGTTTAAATGAGTTATTAATATTATACGACTCATTTCAATTTGATAATTTCACATTCTTACCTTTACCCATTTTCACAGCTTAATGAAGTAAATTATATTATGATCTTAACACTACAATGGTTCAATTTGATAATTTCACATTCTTACCTTTACCCATTTTCACAGCTTAATGAAGTAAATTATATTATGATCTTAACACTACAATGGTTTAAAAATGTGATTATAAGTTTTGTCAGACTCTTAACATGTCCACTTCTATTATAATGTAGTATGTTATAATAAAATTGATAGTCATTTAAATTTTTTAGTTATGTTTATTTTATTCTCTTCAGAAAATGCAAATACACACAAATTATTACATCAAACATTCTAATTATAATACTTTTCATTCCATAAACCAAAAGGAACTCTACCAGGTCCATACCTTTCAAAAGTTAAAGGTGTTTTTGTTATAGCATGTGATCAAATTTTTCATTTGATCCATCACACATATTTCTTAGAAGCAATTAAAGAAAATTCTTGATCAAAAAATCAACCATACTCAGAGGTTTGAATTTCTTGGTTGTGTTTATAGACTGTGTAAAAATGGTGGTAATTCAAGAAACTAATGTGTGTAAATAATTATTATACTTAGTCTATAAAAACTTGTGATAGCTTTTATTGATGCACATTTCTGTAAAGCTTTATACATTATTTGTAACTGCAAGCTTGGCTAACATCATAGGTCTAAGGTTTAAGTCCAGTCAGCTTAGAAAAAGACTATGTAGGCTACTTGTTAGTTACAAGTCATCTTTTAGTTAAAAGATAATTTTCTGTAGGTAGTTAATTATAAAATTAACGCTCATTAGAATTATTACTAAGCTTAGAATCAAAGTATGTAGAAATACATCTTGAATGCTGTATGGAACATTTAATTCCAGACGCTCATGTGCATACTGTAAGCTATAAAGATTAGACTAGTCTATGAAACATTACTGTCATTTAACCAAGTTGTAATAAATATTACATCTAAATTAACAGTCAACAAAAGTATATGGTGTTAAAATTGAATATGGACTGCAGTACAGGTTCCCAAACTGGGTTTTGGTTAATTTATACAAAGATAAATAGCTTGTGAAGTAAAGACTTCAGTTGTCTGCAAGTGTTTCTGTCTTCATCAACATAACCTGAGAACATACCAGCAAGCCTACCTTCAGTAGTACTAATTTTTGTTTTTAATGTGCCTTCACATACCTTTCCATGCTATCTAACATATTTTTATTCATGTCCTGAGTAGCAAGTAAAGTATACTAAGTAAAATACCATTTTATAAAGCCAACATTTCATACATCAAGAATTTATATTCTTGTGTTAGTATAAATATAAACATTTTTGAATTGAAGTCTGGAAAAAGTACGTCTTACATTTTAAAAATGTTTCATTCTGTATGAAATTTTAATATTATATATCATATTGTAGATGTTTTGTGCTAGACAAAACATAAGTCAGCAACTGAGTTTAACAAAAGCAACTTTATGTTCATATTATGTTTGCTGACAGAGACTAACACAGGTTTAAACGAATACCTCATCCCTGGTCCAATAAATACTATGTTCATACAAGCATCCAAAATGAAGTTACTGAAATTTGCAATTACTTAACTAGGTATTTATTTTGACAGTATTTAAGAAAAAAATGTTATTTTTATTCTCTATGATGGGGATGTATATTGGAGATACACAAGATAGAAATAAACACAGTGAATGTATTAGATTCTTGGAACTGACCGGTTGTAAGCTAGAAAGCATGTGATGCTTTTGAATTTGTTCCCATTGTTTGCCTAACTGGTCATGCAACTACTTAAACAGTCAGAACCACTTTAAAGAAATATGGAATCAACATTGCAAGTTTAAGGGGCAAACGACATCATGCCTACATTAGTTCTGTGAATGATGGGCTAGGTGAAATCCAAAAAGTTGTTCCTGATGTTCATTTTCAAAGATATCTGTATTATTTTAACCTTGTCATTTGTGTCACCTTCACTTTGTCTATCAAAAACATGCTAGATACTTGTCAAGAGCTGTAACTCCAAAACATTCCTTGAGTCAGTAGAAAAACCTCTGTCCTGCAGAGGATGTATTACAAACTGAAGGATTGTACAAGGCTAGACAGACTTAAAGGCACACTATCTACGACATCCTACGAGTTTTGAACATCTAGCTACATTTATACTCCCAAGAGAATTACTCAAAGCAGTTGCACCTTTGATCATTCTCTCCAAGGTGAACTGATAAAAGTCTACCTTGTCTTTAAAAAAAATTAAAATTTCATCAAACACTAACAATTGATCAACAAAGAAATCTTGATGTCTTCACAATGCATGGATATGGTTTGGAAAAAACTGGCATTCCATGAAAGATAATGAAAACATTTGTACAGATATGTATTTGTACTAAATGCATGACCTTTAGAAATGGAAAGTGTATGAAAATTGTTTGCAATTAAACAGTTCTTTACCTGGTACCAATTTGAATTGACTTTTATTCTGCCAAATAAAGATAATGAATGTTAGGTACCTAGTAAATATGTGCACAACCCCCCCCCCCCCCACCTCTCTTAAAAATTCCTGATAGAGTCCCTAAAATATTATTAGGAATAAAATACTGCAACCTCAAAGTTACTTTAAAACCCTTTGTTTACATTTAACTGGTAATTATGCTTTTTCATATGACTTCTAAATGGGAGGTACTATAGAAAATTAATCAAAATAATTAAAAACAGGACTAAACGTTAAATGCTAGATAATAATGATGCTAATTTAACTCAGTGAAACATTGTGATATTTTGTTTCTTTCAGCTTTGTATCTAATTAATTCTATTCAATTTTTGTAAATTAAATTATTCTACAAATTTGGGTTCAATCAGTCCATCTTTGGTCATGATAATTAAAATTTAACAATGTTAAAAACAATTAATTTTAGACTTGATTTATTGTTTGATGATTATCATTACAGATTAAGATTTGCATGTATTATATTGGTTATTATATTCATCATTAATCTATATTCTATTTAAGCCAATGTAATGTTTACATTAAATATTTGGATCTGAAATTATCTTACATCAGAAACTTTAAAATACATTCCATAAACGATGATAATGTTATATCATCATATTTTTATCACCTCAACACCACCTATTTTTATGCAATTGTGTGCAATATATTTATTGAATAACTAAGCTTTATTAAAATATATAAGACAAATAAACAAGGTACGTTTTATATAATCAGCAGTAAAATAAGCTGTTATTAAACAAACTGTCAATAAGATGTTGCACTTACTCATGCTAATCACAACAAATATAAGATAAAACTAACAATCTCACAAGTAGTAACTCTCATCTTTCTAAAGAAGATAAGGAAAAAACTTCAGTATCACTGCACTCAAATTAAATATCACAACACTCAATTGAAATTAACAGCAGTTCTAAAAAGGTGAATAGATCCTTCTGAGAGTGTCTGAGAAGAACAATGAACAAGTTTGAACACCACAGCACAGAAGTAGGTGAAAGTGTACTTTATTCCACATGAACACCATTGATGTTTTTCTGTAAAAGATAGAACCATAATAATTACTTATTTTTTAATTTTTAGTGTACGACAAGAAAGTTTTATGCAGCTAATGTCTTCATTCTAAATGAATTTTTATGAGTAAAAAAAATATATTTACTTCTCAGTGTTATGAAGGGCAAAATGATATTGCTATTGGTTTTTACAGTAAAAAGATATAAAAAAAATGGGATACAAAAGGATAATAGTTCAAACCTTCAACATCTGACTACTTTAAACCTACTTCAAAGAGTGATAATGTTATGCTTGAGCAAAGATGATTTTTTTTTCACATTCCTTATTATTATTCTCCATGGATTTTTAACCAAAGTAATAAAATATCATTTAAGATTTATCTTTTGCTTGCCACAAATCACCACCAGAGCTTATCTAATAGCATTGAATTTCGTATATGAATAGTGCTCAATTTATATGTATATATGTATCTGGAACAAAGATCCCTGCTGCCTGATGGATTTTAGAAAATAACAAAGGTTATTGAGGCTGTTATTTGGGATGTGACTGGAAGAAACAAAGTTTATTGACTACATCCATAATATATCAATTCTCATTGCAAAAGTAGCAGTCATAAAACTGATTATAGTATTTCCACCCTTGTATTAAAAGAATGCAAAACAGGTTTCATATCTTATATCTTGCGAGATCTGGAAGAAATTAAGAACTGTGTATTCTTTAATTATGGTTGAAAGCTATGAAGTAGTTTCAAACTAACTGATGTTACCATTCAAACAATAGTTAAATATTATTTGAAGTCATGGCATTTTTATCACTTAATGTGCTCAGAACAATTTAATATGATATATATTATAATATTTATAATAAAAGTGCACAGAATAGTATATTAGGCTAAAGACATGGAAAAGTATCACATAATCTAATCAAAACATGTGTTACTGATATTTCTAGATTAGCTTGAAAGGCTAAAATGTGAAAAAAAGAAGTTATCATTTGCATATAGAATTTATGAATACTTAATCATTTTAAAAATAAGATGCATAATGTATTTCAGAATAAACACTCTAAATATAGTTACAATGCAACAAAGCATGTAAAGATATGAAAATAATTGTCTCTTAATGCACTGTTAATAGTCTGTGAAAAAACAACATCACCTCTTTAGCTGATGAAGCAGGAACAACTCGGCTAAAAAAAGAAAAAATTACTATAACCTTAATGGAAAACATGCTGTGTTATACTAAATAACATAAATGGCAAGATAAAACTTTGTTGAATGATACAGTATGCTTAAAACACTCATAAACAATCATTCCATCATTTCTATCAAATGTATTTAATTATACAACTACCAAGGAGTTGTCAGTAAACTATCCAAACATCTTCTAATTATTCTGATGCAAACCTTATATTCCATTAACACTAAAATGAGGCCAAGTGTCTAAACAGTGTTTTAAGTTTCTTTTAGAATTATTAGAAATTAGTTGTTTGAGAAAAAAAAAATCATTATAATTTAAAATGCCAATTATTTTAGAACCAAGGACAATGCTAGTTTGTCAGAATATACATATATACAATTAGCATAGTCTGGGAGAATATATGCAGACAGTTATTTCTCTCACAGTCTTGGAGGGTACATTTAAGCAGTCAGCAGTGAAGTTTGTATATTCTTATTTTAGACCTTCCCATTGACATCTAACTATTATTAATATAAGTAGCTCGTTATAAGAAATTAAAAACATAAAAAGGAAAACAAAGCAACAAAAGTATCAAACTACTTCAAAACATTGAAGAAATAATATTTTATAGCTAATTTGTTTGTTCTACAAACAGAGAATCAGAAATTAAATTATAGTGTGTTGAAGAAATATTCATTTATTGAAAATAGTTAATCACTTGAATTTAACCCTTCCACATTAGGTAGGTCAAAGTGCACATCACAACCTTTCATGGAGTAACATTCAAAATTTAGTTAAAATACTTTATTATATGTTTTAAGGTCTTAGTTTGATACGGCAATATTTTTAACAAATTTTTCGCTCTCCCTTAGTGTGAGAACTGTGATATTTGCTTCTACATCTTCCCGTGTCTCCAATTTATTTACCACCCTTCTGAGAAGTACAGAATTTAATATAAGTTATTGTAATATATATATTACTCAGGCAAAGTATAATGTTTACAGCCTTCAATATTATTCCTTTATGGATTATAAACTAGAGAATCAGACAGTTCCCTGATGTTTTATACTTATAAACAATGGAAAGCCAGTTGTAATCTATCAAATTAAATATTACATTACAATGTTTTCTGTACAGGGCATTGTCTTTTTTGTCATTCATTTTAAATTTATTCTCATGGGAATCAAGTTGATGAGCTTAGTTGAATTTTTAAAAACTCTTATTGCATAGTTGAAAAACCAGAAAAAATATAATAGTTATAGGACATTGATTGTATTTTTTGCACGTTATTATTCTATGTTCTGAATTACATTATTTAATTCAAAAAATAATTTAGTGTAGGTGGTACCATTAGTATGAAAAGGTAGGCTTAAGTTTCATCAACAGCACAAAAAGGAGACCCTGTTTAATACTATATTTCTTGTTTTTCATGTGTATTATTTATTATTATAAAATTAATTACAATGTAAAAATTATAAACTTATTAAATTAAATAATGAAAAATAATAAAAAATTCATCACAAGGTATGCTTGCAGGAAGTCTGTTTATCATGTAATTCAACATGGTAATGTGAGGTGTACATTAACTGAGTGATTTACAACTTGTGTGGCAGAATTATTAGTTAGACATGGTTCAAAGTGCAAAAAAACAACAATAAAATTGAAGTATAAGTGGATATAGACTGTAACAAGCTTTAAGCTGAGTAAACCAGAACAAACGGCATGTGCCTTTTGTAAAAACACCAATGTAGAGGATGACATTTCAGAAGTCTTCCATCTTAGGTCTTCAGGTGAGTGTGTGTAAAACGTTTCAGGATTTTATAGTATCCTGATGAATTGTGGAGGACATTTGTAATTGGTTTGTTTATTCCTGGTTCTTGTTGGTGGAAAGACTGCATGAGGTTTCAACCAATGGTCACCTCTAATCACAAATTTCTGTTTAGTGATGGCTTTATAGTGTCAATGCATTCTTTCCACCAATCAGAACCAGGAATAAACAAACTAATCACAATACATCCTCCACAATCCACCAGGATACTATAAAGACCTGACACATCTTCAAAGATGAAAGACAGAAGACTTTCGAAATGTCATCCTCTACACTGGTGTTTTTACAACAAGCAGTTGCCATCCATTCCAGTTTACTCAGAATGAGTACTCTGTTATTTAGGATAAACAATTTGTAATCATACTAGAAAGAAAAAATGATTGATTTTCTAAATTTATATGATAGTTATGAGGCTGGTCAAATCAACTGATCCCATATAGTTATGGTAGAGAAAGTTACAAATAAAAAATAAAGTTTTTGGAAAAAAAACATCTGATATTTATTTAAGACGTTTTTGAGATTGTGCAAATGAAGACTGAAAATCTTCAGATGAAAAAATGTATTTTTAATCTTCATATGAAAATTACTTTGCACTTGAAGCAGTCAACATTTTGACTTTATATCATGATGGAAAAATATGTAGTAAAAAAATTACTTACTTAAAAATTATGATTTTTTGTCTACAAAATGCTTGTAACACTTACTGAAAGTTTGTCAAATTTCCTGAAACTATACTAACTACTTTCAGAGTTAATATACATATATCTTCATGGTTACAAGGCTGTGTAAAATATTTGAGCCTGTTGAGAAAGTTTTAACATTGTACCGTAAATTACAATTGATTGAGCATTGTCCTTTATCACAATAGTCTGGTTCAACCCCCCCCCCCCATAAAAAAATAGATACAAATGTATAAAATATATTTTAAATTAGTCAGTGTACTGAAAAGTATAAAAGAAGTTCCTCGTGTACAATATGTACATCCCATTCATATTGATTTCTCTACCATAACTCAATGGCCACAAAACAACCATATTTAATGGCAGCCAACAGAGGATATTGCCCACTTCTGTCTCTCCAGACAAAAACTCTTGTCAGTAATTAGTAAAGACTATTTCATCCATGTATAATAGTATCGCTGCCATCTATTCAGATTTTCACAAAATTCTATTAATGGATCAGTCAAGTATGAGTTTCAGTTGGGCCTTCTCAACCTTGTTCGTGACATCTGACTTTTACTATCGTGTAACTGATGATCATACTAATTCTGTCTCAAGGCCATGGGCAGAATGAACAGCCTCTGGTCACTGTAATTGTTCAATATTTCATCCTATATGCACAGATGAGGGTTATAGTGTGCATACCTCTACCTTGTACAGACTGACATTCAATACGAGTTACAAACATTTCATGTTAACCTCCATAATTGAATTCACAACAGTTCATGTTAGAGTAGAAAAAATACTAGATACAATATATATATGGATATTGAAAAAAGCTTTAGATATGGATTTAAAAGGTTGTTGAAATTAAGCAAATAGAACTTGCAAACTGTAGAATGGACATTTTTTATTCTCCACTTGAACATCACTTTACACTCTGACTTGTCAAGAGTCTGGGTCAAACTGACTTTGACATTTCAAACACATCTTTAATACAAAACATTTAATAACACAACTGAGCGTTTTGTCTACAACAGACTTGTATTTTTGTTTAAAAGCTTCCCACATTTCATGAAGATACACTTTGTAACTTGGGAATTATAGTTGACATTACCTCTCCAGTACAGGAGTCTAACCAATAGACCAATGCTCTACACATTCAGTTAAATAGCTCTGACCAGTTGAACACCTGTCAAAAACCTTTGCCTACTACCAAAATGTAATAGTATTTCATGCTTCAATAACTAGTAAAGAATATATATTTAGTATGAAATATTAAGATAATTTTTCTAAATTTTCATGAATATTCTGCATACTGTTAAGTACAGCTACTTTAATTAGATGTAGAAAGGTCATAAACATGTACTTATTCTTTTTTGCTTAGGAATATGTTACACATTACAATGTTCATTTGTAGAGCTTAGGTGTGGGTTACAAGGGGTGATACAGAGCCCTGTACAAGTACACATGAGTTGGAGGTTCATGTCCTTTCAACTTGTGTATTTGGAATGACTGTTGATGTAGAAACCATAAGGATTGTGGGATACTGTACTAGGACCCTGTTCTGACAACAAAAAGTGGGTTATCTATACATTTCTCTCCTTCTCTTGTCTGCTTCTTATCTGAGATAGCATCTTAAGTTAACACATATTTAGGAAGCCTTCTCTCCTCCTCCATCAGTCAATGAAAAGTCTTTCAAAATAACAAGAAGCTGGATCCAAAGCTATTTGCCAGTTATCTGGAGCTCAGTGTCAATTCTTGAACTGAGAAGTAATAGGTGCCTAACAAAGTGGCTGATTCAGAGTACTGTGGACTGGGAAAAAGGTTGATTTTTTGTAGTAAACACTGTATAAATCAGAGCTGTACTGGATCTTCTATATATCAGATAATTTATGGAAAGCCACTACTTTGGTCCCTAAGCTCAAATTTTTTCTAGTAAATGGAGACAAACTAGACATGAGTGAAAAGGTATGTCTGCAAATGACAATTGTTGATAATGTACTAAGCAAATTCAAGATTTTTGATATCATGTCAAATATTGTGGTAGGTCTGTATATGTAGACTTATAAATCAGGTAAGATATTGATCATTTTCTGGATTTATGTGTGTCCTTTTTGTGGTGACAGCTAAAGTAATTTTGCTGGCTACTACATTGTATTGCATGTATTGTATAGTTGATAGCACCAAATGTGATCTAGATGGATGTTTATATCAGAGTAAGTCATTTCTGATTACTTCCGTCTACAGCTATTCTTATTTTTATGAGATCACTTGAGTTGTAGTAATCTTATCTCAATAGATAGTGTTTGCAGGTTTGAATTAGTTCACTTTATTAAAACCATATTAGTCAGCTGCTATACAAGCCATATAGACATTGAGCATTATTGTTGCATATTATAAGCTATATTTATATTACTATTTGATGAGGAAATATGAAAGTAAGTGAATTTGCATATGTTTTTGAGTACATATAAAACTAGTTTGTGCTATTTTGTGAAGTATAGAGCTGTAATATATACAATAACATAACATATTCATGAAGGAAATAATTTAGGTTTGTAATGGTAAGATGTGGTACATTTCATAGAACCAACAGTGATTAGTTTGAATAGTACTGAAATAAAACACACCATGGTCTAAGTATTCCAGTGGTGTAGCAAGGGTTCTCAGCACCTGGGGGCAAAGATACTTTTGGCACCCCTACCTCTGAAATGTTTTGATTATTTGTTTTGTGACTCATTACCAACTTAATGACAATAACATAAAGCATTAATTACCACCTTACACAGGCCTAAAATAAAGTCACAATATAACATCTCACGATATCACAACTGTAAACCTGTAACTAATGAAGTAAAGCCTATTAGGTGTATTTACATAATTTGTAAACCATTTTGATATTTATATCACCCAGTACTGTTCAAAG